TCTGGGTACTAAACTACCCTGGAAAAAGTGAAAAGCTTATATGATTTGAGTTAGTAATTGCCTTATTTGTTTCGGCTTTCAAGCTAAGATGGAAAATGTTCTTGCCCCCAGTGGAAGAAGACAGATTGATACCAATATAGGATATGTTCAAGCAGGAAAAGATGATGTATGACTTAAAAATAAACACAAAGGAAAATGACAGATGCTGGAGGTGCTGTGGGAAAACAAGCACATTAATGCACTATTGGTAGGTAGACCTATGAAAATTGTCCAACCATTCTGGAAAGCAATTTTTATCTGTGCTCAAGAGGTTATTAAACTATGCATAGCCTTTGATCCATGGATACCACTATTAAGTCTACACCTCCAAAGAGATTAAAGGAAGAGGAAAAGAACCCACACACAAAGTTATTTATAGTAGCTCCTTTCATAATGGTAAAGAATTGGAAACTGAGAAGGTGTCTACCAATTAGGGAATGGATAAACAAGGTATTTTTAGGTAGGTGTGAAGGAATCATGAGTGAGGACACATAGAGCAGGAGCATAAGGGCTCACAAGTCAGGCAGTTTATTACTTGCAGGAATGTAAACTTGTGTGTGACTCCATTACCCAACAGTCCCTTAAACACACAATGATGAAAGTAGCTTCAGGCTTGTACTCCAATTGAGAGCCCAGATATCCTGGGTCTCTACCCTTATATATCTGATTGTTGTTGCTGGGCAAACTCATAGGGACTGAGTAGCAGGAAAATCTTAGGGGCAGTCAATCAATGAGCAGTCTATCCTTTGATTTCTACCAGTCATCATTAACCAAAAGGAAACTATGGTTAGTAAAGTTTACTAATCTTGCACTCCTAAACCTAAATGCAGATGACCAAGCCAGTTGTTGGGTATTATATAGCAGGTCAATCAGTGGTCAAACATAGAGTCACTTTTGTCAGCTACAGTCTAGCAATAGGCCACTCCTCATAATAGGTAGATAGATAGGTAGGTAATAAGCATGTTTAAAATGCTTAGAGTGTGTTAGGCACTGTGCTAAACTCTGGAGTTACAAATAGAAGCAAAAATAAAGGCAGCGGCTGCGCTCAATGAATTTACATTCTAATGAGGGAAGATCACATATAAACAGAGCTGAAAAGGGAGTGGAGGATGTACTTTTGAGGGGATATAGAAACATGACAGAATTTTATTATGAGATGAGAAATGATGAAGGGGATGGTTTCAGAGAAACCTTGGAAAACTTCAATCAATTAATACAGAGTGAAGTAAGTAATATCCAGAGAACAACTCATACAAAACAATAATAGTTTAAAGACAAACAACTTTGAAAGACTTAAGAATTCTGATGATCACAATGACCAATTACAATTCCAGAAGACTTATTGTGAAAAATGTTACCCACTTCCTGACAGAGAAGTGATGGATTCAGAGCAAAAACTGAGCAACATATTTTTGGAAATGACTGGTATGGGAATTTGTTTTGCTCATTTATAACATATTTTCTAAAAAAAGATTTTGTTTTTCTTTCTTTTTCAATGTGGGTGGGATGAGAGGCAGAGAAGGCAGATTTTTTGTTTATTGAAAAATATAATATTTAGTTTTTAAAAAAAAAAAAAAACAGAAGCATCGATGAATCTCTAAGACATAATCGATGTTCCTGATTTCTTGGCTAGGTTTTGGTTTACTTTTCATCTTTTAATAGAGCTAACTAGGCTCTCCTTTCTTTCCAAGACAAACATGTGACTCCCATCTCTGGAAATGGTGATGCGCAAAGTAAGCAGTCCAAAATGAGTCTCTCTGTCTATCACTGTCACTGTGCTTTCCTGATCACTTTAGAATGGTTCCATACACCTAGTGACAGGCTCCCTAGTTCATTACAGCTACGAAGGACCATTCAGGGGCCAGGAGAGAGCTGCAGCATCACTGGCTCTTGCAAGCTTCACATGCTCATCACTGAACCCACCAGTTCCCTTCCCTACTTTCTTTATTGCTTTGGCCATAAATCCTCTCTCAACTTCCTTCTCAACTAGCTTCCAATTCCACAGACCTAGAACGGCAGAATGTCAATCTCAGTATTCTGGAGATCTGTAGACATTTTGTGACTTTCAAATAAAGCGAACCCTGTTCAGCGAAAACCAATGGGAAAGTATGGAGGCATTATCGCTCTTCTGGATTTCATGAAGTCCAACCCAAGAGAAGCATCAGGGACACTGCACATAGTATTTTAGTAGGGCTATGATGCAATAGATGTTGCAGCCCTCCAATGATGCAAGTCACAGCTCATATGTGCCTGCCACTCCTGTGTAAGTTTTGTCCATATCCTCCTCTAAAGCCTCCACAGAGGGCCCCCCAAGCTCTTGGAGCAAACACGTTAGGTAGCATTGCACAGTAGATAAGAGAACTGTCCTCTGAGTTAGGAATAGCTGGGTAGATTCCTGGTTCTGATGCATACAGGCTTTGTGACCCAGAGCAAGTCATAGCCTCTCAGCACCTGAAGGCAACTTTCTAAGACAAAAACCTGCAGAGAAGGTGTGGAACTGCAATAACAATAATAATAAGAGCTAATATTTATATGGGCAGCTAGGTGGCACAGTGGATAGAGCACCCGGCCAGGAGTCAGGGAGACCTAAGTTCAAATCCAGCCTCAGACACTTACTGGCTGTGTGACTCTGGGCAAGTCACTTAACCCTGTTTGCCTCAGTTTCCTCATTCATAAAATGAACTGGAGAAGGAAATGACAAACCACTCCAGTATCTTTGCCAAGAACCCCCCCAAGTAGGGTCATAAAAAATCAGACACGATTAAACAGCAACAAATATTTATTTTTATTTTTTTAATTTTTTTTTTTTTAGGCAATTGGGGTTAAGTGACTTGCCCAGGGTCACTCAGCTAGTAAGTGTCAAGTGTTTGCTCTAAGATTGGATTTGAACTCAGGTACTCCTGACTTCAGGGCCGGTGCTCAATCCACTGCGCCACCTAGCTGCCCCTAACAACAAATATTTATAAAGCATATTTAGGTTTACAGAGCACTTTACGTATGTTAACTCATGTGATCCTCACAACAACCCTGGGATGTAGACGTTATTATCATCACTTTTTACAGATGAGGAAACTGAGGCACAGACAGGTTAAATGACTTGCCCAAGGTTATACAGCTAGTAAGCATCTAAGGGAATATTTGAACTCACGTCTTCCTCACCCCAAGTCCTATACTCTATCCAATATGCCATTTAGCTGCCTCATTAATAGAGAAGTGCCTCACCAGGAGCTCCTTATACTGACGAAATCATAGGTCCAATAAAAAAAAGCCATAATAGGCACTACATAAACTGAATTGAATAGAACTGAATTGCCCATTGTAAATCTACACAGTGACTTAGGCAGAATTTGTTCAGGTCATAAACCAAAAACCATTTTTCTATTTATGCAAATTTTGAGAGTTCATTATTTCAACTGGGTTTTAGATGTGGATCTTAAGTAGCACCAAGAACCAGGATTTTTTTTTGTTCATATTGGGAAAAAGGGAAATAAAGAAGAGTTTCTCAGTTCCAAAGGAACCAAATAATCTACTTTACTCAACACACAGTTTGGCAAATAATGGATATTCAATGTTTTCTGGTTAGTTACGTAACTAGGCACCTAGATGGAATATTAGATAGAATGTTGGATTTGGCATCGTGAAGACCTGAGTTCAAATCCTCCTTCATATATTAATTATCTGTGTGATCCTGGTTAAGTCTCTCTGCCTCAGTTTCCTCACCTTTCCAGTTCTAAATATATGATCTCATTATATTACAAAAATATATCTACTGTATCATCAATCCAGTGACATTGGCTTCCTGGCTGTTCCACAAACAGGACACTCCACCCCTTAGCTCCAGGCATTTTCTTAGGCCTATCCCCAGTGCATGAAATACTCTCAATTTGCCATTCTGTCTGCTGCCATCCCTGGTTTCCTTTAAGTACCAACTAAAATCCCACCTTCTATAGGAAACCTTTCCCAATAATTCTTAATTCCAGTGCTTTCCCTCTATTAATTATTTTCTATTTATCCTATGTATAGCTTGCTTTGTAAATATTTGTTTACATGTTGTCTCTGATTGTAAGATCTTTGAGGATAGGAACTGTTTTTTGCCTCTTTTTATATCCCCAGCACTTAGCATAGTGCCTGGCACATAATAGGCACTTAATAAATATTCATTGATTGATAGATTGATGGATAGAAGGCCATTGATTAGGGAATGGCTAAATAAATTTTGGTACATGTGTGAAATGGAATATTACTGTGCTGTTAGAAGTAACAAATATGATGAATACAGAGAAACTTGAAAAGATCTACATGAACTAAGGCAGAGTGAAGTAAGTAAAGCCAAGAAAAGCCAATGAGCACAACAATGTAAATGGAAAGAAGAACCACACATACAAAAAAAATGAATGTTGCAAAATTACAAATAAACATATGGCCCCAAAAAAGGGATATGAGAAGATAACACTACTCTACTCCTTTGAAGAAGTAGGAAGTCCACAGGTGTGGCCCATTGCACACATTTTCAGATTTTTTTGATGTATTAATAGGTTTTGCTGATTTTTTTGCTCTTTTCCTTTTTTTCTTTAAAAAATATTATTTGTTATATGGGATGGCTCTCTGAGAGGGGAAGGGAGATGGATACAGGGAGGAATTCTGGTGATGTAAGAAATAAGAGACATCAATAAGAATGTATTCACACTTCTGCTGTTGCAGAAGTGATGCAGCAAAGCATCCCATGCATGGGTACAACCAGTATGAAAACATGGAAATGGAAGAGAAAGTGTCATATTCAAGGAACTGCAGGCAGGCAAGTGTAGTTGAATTGTAGAGTACACAGAAGGGAATAAGATATAAGAATACCAGAAATGTAGAAAGGGTCAAGGTTATAAAGAGTTTTAAATGCCAAAATAGAGGACTTTACATTTGATCTTATCACTTGCAATTTACTGTTTCAAAGAAGGGAAAAAACATACCTGGTTAGTTCCCCTTCCTAAGGTATCAGGATGCTTCTTTTGTTTGGCTGGAAAAAATTTTTAAAAGAAAGAAACAGTCAATCAGACTCAGAAAAGCTCTAGGAGAGGTCACCTAAGGTGTTATACCACCCCAGTTAGTAGGAAGGGTTGCTACCACTATGGCCAACTTCCAGTAATTTGTGGGAAATGCCAATGCCAATCAACTTTGAGAGTCAATGGTTAATATATGTCACTCATTGATTTTATCTTCCCTTCTTACCCAGCATGCAAAACAGAAAAAGATTAGAACACCAAACAATCACTTTTTAAAAGCTGATAACTTTTCTCTAGGGAGTTTCTATATTTTGGTGCCAAAAGTCACAAGTAATACCACTCCAGGAACATTTTGTTCACATATTGGTATCATGGTTCAATGTAGACAGTGATAAGTTGGTGAGCATCCATTGTGGTGAATATCCTTGAGGTCTTGTCATATCAGGAGTAATTTAATCAATTAGAGATATTCAGCCTAGAGAAGAAAAGACTTGGGGGATGGGAAATGGAGGAAGAGAAATATGATAACTGTGTTCAAATATTTGAAGGGCTATTCTGAGGAAGAAAGATTAGATGTTCCATTTGGCTCAAGATGGGCAGAACCAATCAATGACTCAATCAATCATTTATTAAATACTCAGTATATACAAGGCACTATTGTAGGTGCTAAGATACAAAGCCAAAAATAAGACAGTCCACGCTCTCAAGTAGCTGAAATTCTACCTGAGAAACAACATGTACATAATATAAGTAAATGCAGAATAAACATATGTATAATAAATACAAAATAAAAGTGTGATAGTTAAGTACAAAGTAGTTAGCGAGGGAGGGCACTAGCAGTTGGAGAGATCGGAAAAGATATCATGTAGAAGGTGATGCTTCAGCTGTATCTTGAAGGGATTTGGAATTCTGTGATGAGAAGGTGAGGGGGGAATGAATTCCAGGCATGGGGTATGGGAGTGCAAATGCATAGAGATAGAAGATGAAGTTGATATATAAGGAACAGAAAGAAGCCAAGTTTGGTTGGATCATTGGTTGCCAGAAGGGGAATAAAATAAAATAAGACCAGAAAGATATGTAGAGTCCAGGTTGTGAAAGGTTTTAAAAGCCAAATAAAGGTGTTTTGTTTTATTCTAGAGGTAATAGGGAACCAGTGAGCATGGGAGTGACACAATCAGATCTGAGCATAAGGAAATTCATTTTGGCATCCATGAAGAGAATGAATTGATATAGGGAGAAACTTTAGGCAGGCAGACCAGTTAGAAGAAACCAGGAGCAGTGGATGGAAGTTATAAAGAGGTAAACTGAGGACTGATATCAAGATAAACTTTTTTACAATTAGAGCTGCCCAAAAGTGAGATTGGCTGCCTTGGAATATACTTGGTTCTTCCTAACCAGAAGTCTTCAAGCAGATGATGCATGGGCCCTTATCAGGCATATTTTGGTGGAAGCATTTTCAGGTATGAGGTTTCTTCCATCTCCCAAATTCTGTGGTTGTGTAGCTTTATTACTAAGTCATTGCTTAGACATTTTCTTTTCAAGAGAGATTCTGGATGTAGGCACTTAAAGGGATTCTTTTGATCACGTATTTTTTTCTTGTAGCTTTCAGAGAAACTCTAGAGATCTCAAACTAGATGAAGGAGTCTAGTCAAGCTGAGGGTGGCTAGGTGGCCCAGTAGATAAAGTGCTGGGCCTGAAGTCAGGAAGATTCATTTTCCTGAGTTTAAATCTAGCCTCAGACACTTATTTTGACTGTGGACAAGTCACTTAATTCTGTTTGCCTCAGTTTCCTCATCTGTAAAATGAGCTGGAGAAGGATATGGCAAATTGTTCCAGTATCTTTGCCAAGAAAACCACAAATGGGGCCATAAAGAGTCAGACACAACTGGAAAAAGACAAGCTATGGCAGGGTCCCAGTGGTTGGCAAAAACGAATGGCTTTGCGAAGACTGTAATGATTCTTGAAACTCCCACCTCAAAGCAGTAGGGAAACATTTGCCTTGTCTTTATCTCATATAACAGACTGACAAGATCTTGAATGACTCTTGCCTGTGTTAGAGCTATTAAAATCATAAAATGCTGGAATTTAGAGCTGGAACAGCACCGTGGATCGTGGGGAAGTAGGGGTATGAGAAAGAGCACCAGAAAGGGAAGTGCAAGAGATTAAAAAGGAAAAGGAACTTCTCTACAACTGTCCTCCCTATGATAGCTTTAAGGCATGTGGTTCTTAAAAACCAGAACGGGGTTGGTTTCAAAAGATCATGCTTTTCCCACCACGACCAAACCCCCTCTTTTCAAAGAAACTCTTATTTCTCTGTGGGGCTCAATTACATGGAAAAGGAAACTGAAAAAAATCACAGAAAATCTCCATTTGTCCAAAATTTTAGAGAAGCAAAGGGAGAAGCCTGGCAATTTAATCAATGTAACAGTTAAATCAACTTAATCCTGGCTTATTAAAATATATAATGATTATTAATTGCATGATTATTCAATTAAGCTAATTGTTAAATTAATTAGATAATTATTAAAAAGGAATGCATAGCAAAGAGTATATCAAACAGATTATAGTGATTATATAAAAAAGCTTAACTGATATAAATCAATAGCATAACAAGAAGAAAAAAAGGACCTAAAAACACCTTAGTCAGCAAATACTTGACCTATTTGCCAAATGGAAAGAGATGGAGGCCAAAGGTAATAATGGTTTAGTACAGAAATAAATTTTTAAAGTCTTATGAAGGAGGCCAATGTAAGATTATGATCAATATCACTTCATAAAGCAGAGAGCAGCAGTGAAGGGTTCATTTGCTTCATTCTTGACTCTGTTGTTATTGTTGCTACAGCTGCTGTTGTTGTTCAGTAATTCCAGCCATGACTCTGTAGACCATAGCACTATAGTACTGTCCATGAGGTTTTCTTAGCAAAGATACTGGAGTGGTTCGCCATTTCCTTCTCCAGTGTATTAAGACAAACAGCAGGTAAATAACTTGCCCAGGGTCATAGCTAGTGACAGTCAGAATCCAGATTTGAACTCAGGTTTTCCTGACTCTAGGTCCACTGCTCTATCCACCGAGCCTCTTAGCTACAGTAAAAACTAAGTATCACTATAAAGAAAACTTGGAGAGAGACAAAACTAAGCAAAAACATCCTAAGAGAATTTAAAGATGAAAATGGAAGAAGAAACAAACAGAAGAAAAATGGAAGCTATCTACAAAATTTCACACTCACACACCCCCCCCCCACACACACAAACTGTTTTCACCATCAAGGACAGTAGAGTCACAAAACTTGGACTAATGTCATAGTCCAAGAAAGTCCTTATAGAAGAAATAGAAATGACACTAAGAAAAATAAAGGTGGAAGAAGCCAGATTAGACCAAATGTTCACAGAGGAGATTGTTGCTGACTGTGACATAGGTGTGAAAGCACTGAGGGAAGGATCAATTCACAACATATATGAAGGGGACATCCCAGAGGCAGGGGGAAAGGGAATTTGGGAGAACCCATCAGCTTCCAAGGCAATCCATTATACTTTGGGATATCTCTGATTATTAGGCAGTTTTTTCCTTTTGTCAAGCCAAAATTTGCCCCTTTGCAAATGCTCCTGGTTTGGTTCTTTGGGTGTTAAGCAAAACTACCCCAACTCTTCCCCAATAATAGCCTTCCATATACCTGAAGGGAATAATCATCCCCCCACTATAGCCCACCTTGTTCTCTTCCCCCAGAATAATTACCCTAGTTCTGTCAACTTATCATCATTTAGTAAGAAATAAAAAGAGGGGTAGAAATATCAGGAACTTAAAAAAAAACTATCACAATGAGGAAAGGTTGTCTGAATATATCTGCAGAATAATATCATTATAAAACAGAACTCACCTCGCTTCTTTCTCTGCCAGAAGAACAAACTGAGACAAGTAAGGATAAATATACACAGCAGCCCCATTGAAGGAAGCATGTAAAGGAGCCATGGTCTAGTTACATTCTCAGGTCTCTGTTCCAGTGGGGCTTCAGTTGAATCTGAAAATTCAGTCAATACTCAAGAGCATTAAGAAAGCTATAATAGCTAGAAAATCCACTTTGTTTAATTTATTTCCTCAAATGGGATGGGAATTATGATCATAAACCCCAGAGGGAAACCTTTTCTAGAATGAGCCAAAGACAAGGCATATTCCTCCCAACCTCCATGAAACCTTCTCTGAAAATCACATATAATGGAGACCAAGTCATTCAGCAAAGATAATCATAAAAGCTAGCATTGATATATTGTCTTAAGTTTTGTAAATCTTAAACTTATAAACCTTAGAAACGAATTTGATTCTCATAGAAACCTGTGAAGGAGGCTCTACAAGGATTATTCTCCTTATTTTCTTGATGAGGAAACTGAGGGCCAGAGATGTTAAAATCTTGCTGAGGGCTACACAGTATCAGGGCTGGAATCTGAATCCAAGAATTGCTGACTCCAATTGCAATGAGCTATATATGCTATGTTGCCTCCCAGGATGATGAGCTTCCACTGCACTAAGAATGATAGAAGGGAAGTGGAGAGGAGATTTAAAAAGAATTATTACATTTTATATATGTTATTTTATATTATATATTGTATATGTTATATATTATATATCATAAACATAAATGAGATCTTACTTTTCCTATATCCTACATTTGCTGACTACTAAAAAAACCAGATTTCCCTTATTTTAGTTGGACCAATCGAAATTTACTTCTTAGCAGGTCCATTGTACCAGCGCTACCACATGATAGAGCAGAGAGAATGCAGGCTCAGAGTAATGAAGATCTCTGTCAAAATTCTGCCTCTGACACTTACTAGCATGTGACCATGTGTGAGTTCACTTTTTGAATAATAAGATCGTAGATTTAGAGCAGAAAGGACCATAGAAAGAAGCCACGGAGTCTAACCTCCTCATTTTACAGATGAGCAAACCGAAAATGAGTCTCAGTTTCTCCACTTACTAAATGGGGGTAATAATGCCAGTCATATCTACCTCACAGAGTTGATATAAGGCTTATACGAGGTGATATATGTAAAGTACACTGTAAGCTTTAAAATGGTGTATCAATGTCTATTTAAATTTTTTTTCTTAGGAAGAAAAAGAAAAAGAAAAATGTAGAAAATAAACCAGCTTTAGTAATGCTAATGGACACTCAGGCCTGTTATTAGACCAGCATCCACCGGCAAGAGATCTTAATGGAGAAATGAGAACCAAGGGTGAAGTAGATGGGCTTGCCCCAGACAATTAAGTGACTTATCTCAAGCTCAATTTATGTAAAGCAATCATCAATCACTCAAAGAATATGTGCTTAAAGTCAGTTCTTAGGTTGTAAGGCTTCGTGTATGAAACACTAATCTATGTTTTTAATTTCCTGCCTATGTATCTATGGAACTATATATGGAATTAGTCTGTTACATGGCTTAGCATCTTATTTCCTCCAAGTGTGGGAGCTAACAGGAGTCACAATTAGCAAAAGCCTCCAGTGATATTTCTGGATGATATTTACTTCCTGAAGAAGAAAAAAAAAAAAAAGATCATTCTTGTTTCTCTCCCTCCCTTTTTACTTCCTCTTCAATTTACCCACACAAACAATACAGTGCTTGTGGACATGAGGCTACTCACATTGGGCAGCTAGCTGGCACAGTGGATAGAGCACTGGGCAGGCAATCAGGAAGACCAGAGTTAAAATTTTATCTCAGTTATTTACTCGCTGTGTGATCTTGGGCAAATCAGTCTGTCTCAACTACAAAATGCAGATAATCATAGCACCTATTTCCCAGGATTGTTGTGAGAGTCAAATAAAACAATATTTGTAAAGCTCTTAACTCAGTGCCTGACACATAGTTAATTGATTAACTATATTAACGGTTGTTCCCTTCCTTCCTTTCATACGTTGGTCAATTGACCCAAAGCACAGCAGAAGAGAGGCAAATGCTTACAAGCTCTTTTTTTTAGAGATCTAGTTAACTTAAGGCAGCTAGAGTGGCAGGGCCATCTTCCTGAGTTCCAATCTGGCCTCAGACACATACTAGCTGTGCGACCCTGGGCAAGTCACTTAACCTTGTTTGCCTCAGTTTCCTAATCTGTAAAATAAGCTAGAGAGGGAAATGGCAAACCACTCCCATATATTTGCCAAGAAAACCCCCCAATGGGGTCATGACGAGTCAGACACAACTGAAAACAACTCAAAGACAACAGCAGAAGAAGAACAGAGGCACTTTTCTGGATGTTTCTCTAGCTCAGAGAAGGTCCTCCCAAGAAATGGCAATATAATAGGTATAACTATTCTTTTCTCCAGTCTGGGTGGAGGCAACATATATAAATCTAAGGACCTCTGAGATTTCTGGGCCTTGAAGGAGAATGAATAGAGGAGGTAAGGGAAAGAGAAGAGTAAAAAACTTAGAGTTAGAAAGCACCTCAAAAGAAAGCAAGTCCAGCCTCTTCATTTTACAGATAAGGAAACTGAGATTCAGAGAAGTTAAGTAGTTTGCCCAAGGTTACACATATAGTAATATATGGTAGAGCCAGTATTTGAACCCTGACAACAAATTTAGCCCTCTTTTCATTGTGCCACCCAGCCTCTTTTGGTCAATAGTTAAAATTATTGTTCTTCTTCTCCCTTCATTCTCAAAGAGGACCAATGACAGCACGAGAGGGATGTCTTGACTTTTATAAGAATTGGATTTAAGTGAGGTAGAGCTGTGCAGGCATCAGCCTCACTCTCTCCTTCAGAGTCATCAGAGTCCAGTGGCATGATAAAAGTCAAGATGACTGGTAATGGCCCGAGATGTAGTGAGTGACCTTGGCTTTTCTAAATTAGGTCTTTCGCAAGCCTCAGTTTACCATGAACATGAATTTAAAAATTGAGAAGGAGCAGCAGTGATAAGGGAGGCCCAATTTTAGACCTGATGAAGTTGAGATGTCAATAGTATATACAAATAAAAACTGTCCAGTTATCAACTAGAACAGAATGTAGGCCTGCAGCAAGAGGAAAAAAAATTGGAACGGAAGGTCTAGATTTCTTGTTGTTTGGTCAATTAGTCACATCCAACTCTTTGTGACCCCATATGAGGTTTTCTTGGCAAAGTTACTGGAATCGTTTGCTATTTTTTTCTCCAGCTCATTTTACAGATGAGGAAACTGGGGCAATCAGGTTAAATGACTTGCCCAAGGTCACACAGCTAGTAAGTGTCTGAGGCCAGATTTGAACTCACAAAGAGGAGTTCCTGCTTCCTGATTCCAAGCCCAGTGTTCTACCCACTGTGCCAACTAGCTGCCCGAGTACTCACTATAATGCATGGCAAATTGCTTTGAATATAAAAGGAGCAAAACAAATATTAATTGAACAGATGAATGAATGAATAAAAAAAGGAAAGACCAGCCAGAATCAACAGTCACATTACTCTCAGGAGTGATCATTTTTTAGTTGACTTGACACTTTCCTGGGGACGTTCTCAAGTACCTCATCTTCTTGCAAAAATAAAGTTTCAGAAATCTCTCAAAGGCTTTGAGTTGCAGGGTAGTTAATGACCTGCATTGATGAAGCATGTTTACTTACAGGGGATTTCACTTTACCAATAAAATTAATAGGAGCGGAACCCTCCAACTCCCTAAAAGAGGATAGAAAATCAGGCATGCTTCCATGAATAAAATAAGATGAGAATGTCCATCAGAAAAATGGACTTTGAAGCTGATACTCACTTGTTACATAGATGTCTGGGCTTTGCAGCTGATACTCACTTGTTACACAGACATTTATGTGATGGCTGGAAAACAGAGACTTTTTTGGAAAGTTAACAATACACTGATAGGAGCCACCATCATCATCAAGCACAGGGTCAAAATGCAGACTGAATATGGTTAAGTTTTTCTCTTTATCCCATGGTCTAGACTCCCTAAGTCCATCCCGAATTTGGGAGCTTTGTGTTCCGTTTTCCTTGATCCAAGACACATTCAGATTCTCACCACATTGGTTCACTGGACACTTAAGTATTAGCAATTTCCCTGGTGACGTGGTAAAATTGGTGCCTCTTTGAACCAAAGGTCTGAAACAAGGAGAATTCCCTGAAAGAGAGGAAAACGAGTGATAGAATCACAGGGCATAGAAGTCATCAGATTCATTCTCCCAGAAGAACTATGCCATAAACAATTCTAAGAAGCTCTTCAGTGATCTCTAAATGAAAAAAGTTCTATCCTCTCCTTTTCTTGCTCATTCCATTGTTTAACACTTACTGTTAGGAAACTTTTGATCTTGTCTAAGCCACGCAGAGTAGAAGAAGAATAGCCTTGGAGTCAGGAAAGACCCAGATTCAAGTCCTGACTCTGACACACACTAGCTATGTGATCATGGGAAATTTCACTTAACCTCTCAGCACTAGGCAGCTCTCCAAGGTCTGTGACTAAAACTTTGGTTACCCATCTGCATTGTTAGAGAGAATTTCCACATTTTGAACTCCCCACACAACTGAAATCAAAGGTATAGACCAAAATAATTAAAAACCTTCATGCTGCAGTTTTCACGCCCTTTTCTTCATATTTTGTCTTCAATTAAAATGGGCGTACTGTGGTCATAGACATACCCAAGGATCACCTTGACCAACAGGGGAGGATATTAAGGAATGTTAAGGGTCCCCTCAACTTGTCTTTTTGAGTTGCCATATTTTCTGGAAACACTGGACCTGGAGTATGCAGGAGGCCCTGAATGCATTGAGGATGAAGCCCTCCACCTTTTTTTGTGAGGCAATTGGGGTTAAGTGACTTGCCCAGAGTCACACAACTAGTGAGTGTTATGTGTCTGAGACCAGATTTGAACTCAGGTCCTCCTGACTTCAGGGCCAGTGCTCTATCACCTAGCTGCCCTTGAAGGCCCCCACCTGCCTCCCACCTCACCAAGTTGACATAATTTGTTGTTTGCACCCCAAGCTGGACTCTCTGTTTGTCTTTGGGAGTCAAGACAGCTGCCAGTCAGTCTGCACCAGACTGGGAAACTGCTTATGTATCTGGGACCCTTGTAGATAAACAGACCATCCCAACTTCATAACCAAGTATTTCCCAAGGGGAAAGAATGCTGCTTTTGCCATCTTAATTATTCATTATTTCTCCTCCCCAGCCACTCCTATTGAGGTGGAGATTTCTGTTTCTCCTCCTCTTTGTCTCAATTTCATAAATACGTAAACTTCTGTTTGGATTATGAACTCTTTGCACTAGCTTAGGGTTTCACATGCACATTTATTTCTCTTGTAATAAACTTAGTTTTTCACATAAGTTTTGTGAAGTTGTAATTGCTTATTGACACTGGTCCCTATACTAGTGAATTTTAAAAACATATATTGCATTTAAAATCTGGAATTCTAGATCAAATGCATGGCCCTATTCTTCATTGATTAGATGATGCTGGAAAAAAAAGTTGCTTTAACCTCTTTTGTGAGCCCTTGTCTACCTAGCGATTTTGGTAAACAGTACACCAGGATCAAGTAGCATAAAAAGTACTATCAAATCAATTTTGTAATTCATGAAGTGAAAATAATACAAATAATTAGTCCATCTTAGTTGAGCAGGAAAGGGAACTAAATACTAGAGTTTTTCACAGAAGGGTATTGTTAACAATATACAGCTACCCATAGCTTACTATTTCAACTGTTATTTCAACTAATGGAATGCTAAAGTCAATCATTTCTACCTTGTTAAAGGAATGAAATATATAAACATGTAAATAAAAAACTTTTAAAATTGCACTATCTTTTAATATAATTATTTTGAATTTTTGCACCTACTAAATTTCAGTTGCATCAAAGGCTCAACTGCCCCACTCTAGTTATGGTTAGATACAAGACCTTTAACCAGTCACTCATCAATTTCTGGGAGGCAGCTTCTTATACTAAATAGTGGGTTGGAGAGTTGGCAGACTTGGATTGTAGCCTTAGTTTGTCACTAACTGTTTATGCTTTAGTAGGTCACTTCACACCTGTGTGCCTCAGTTTCTTTATGTATAAAATGAAGGAATTGAAAAGCTAGTTGTCACCATCACATCCCTACTCCACATGATTTCCATCTTTTAACTTGGCACCTTTTGCTGGAATCTTCTCTCTTATTCTGAGTGGAAGCTGGAATCCTACTGGCTTCTATGGATGCCTGTAAGACTCAGTTCCAGTCCCACCTTCTGCTAAAGTATTTCCTGATCCCCCCTACACACACACACACACACACACACACACACACCTGTCACTGATAGTGCCTTACCTCTGAGATTACCTCTTATTTACTCTATCTATCTATCTATCTATCTATCTATCTATCTATCTATCTATTTATCTATAGTGTAGTGATTTCACTTATTAGTATGTAAGCCCCTTGAGGATAGGTCTGTGTTTTTGTCTTTATCTGCATTCCCAGTGCTTAGAAAAGGGCCTAGTACATAGTAAAAGCTTAACAAATGTTTGTTTCCTTCCTATCTATTGACACAGCCTGACTGTCTTTATAGGCATTTATACCAACAATAGCCTTACCTTATTTTAGTAATACTACTACCACCCACCACCACCAATCACAATAAGGTCATTTATCTGGAAAATTCACCTATGTAAAATGAATCATTCCCCAAGAATGCCAAATAAATGAAGTATTACTCTATGTGGTCATGGAGAAGGCGTTATACTTGGAGTCAGAAAGATCTGAGTTCAAATACTGCCTCAGACTCTAATTAGCTGAGTGATCCTGGGCAAGTCAATTAAATTCTCTGACTCTATTTCCTCTTCTGTAAAATAAAAGGGTTAGACTTGATGGCCTCTTGGGTTTTTTTTTAGCTCAACAGTCCATGAGCTATATACATAGCTGTTTCTGTATTTCTAAAAAATGGGGAAGGGGTAGAGTTAAGCAAAGAGAAAAATGATACAGAAGTAGTTAAGGAGAGAACATTAATGTCATTGAAAACAAATACTGTCTGAATTTTGAGATGTGGAATAATGAATGATGTTAATTTGCATACCCTAAATGTTCAGATTCATGTCAAAGTGAATCTCTGTTCTTTTTTAAATTTCCCTTGCTTTTTTAATTTCAATTAATTTGAGTCAGTTCCAGAGTGCTATAATTTATGGAAAATTCCATGATTCATTTGTTTTTACTGAACAACTATTGAAAAAACTTCTAACAGATAGTGCTTGAGTGGTGTCTTAACATGGTTATCATATTTTACATTCAAAATGATTATTATGCTCCTATGTGAAAAATCATCAATTTTGTGCTTTTTTTGTAATCCATCAGTGTTAGGAAGAGGACTGGGGGGAGAATAGGGAAAGCAACAAGGTCAGGTTTGAGGTCAGTAATTAGGATAGTTTAGAACTAAATTTACACAAATGTTAATTCATATTAGGATTAAGATTCCTGTTAGGGTATTTTGAGTTTGGGATTTTGTTTTGTTTTTAGTTAGGTTTTCACTGGTATTGACTCCTGACCAGAATGGTTTCAGATGAGAAAGAAGATACTTGTCTGGAAAACTATATAGTGGATTTTCTATTGGCTGTGAACTTCAGATGCAAAATAATCACTCCACTCCCAAAGTTTAAAAAGAGACATGAAGATTTCTCCAAACAGCTTAGGATAATAAAACAACTAATATTTATATAGCACCTGCTATGTGGCAGACACTGTAAGCACTTTACAATTATCTCATTTGAGCCTCACAACAATCCTTGGAAGTAGGTTCTATTATTGTCTCCATTTTACAGATGAGGAAACAGAGCCAGATAAATTAAATAACTGCCCAAAGTCACAGAGCTAGTAAGTGTCTGAGGCCATATTTGAACTCAGATCTTCCTGACTCCAGGGTCAGTGCTCTATCCACTATGCCACCTAGTTATTTAGAAATATAATCATAGACAAAGATTTGTTTAAAGATGTGCAACATTAGAGCACACCAGGGTGCTATGATTAGTTGCTCAAATTTACAATGGATACTGACATCAGTAATCCCACTAATCCCAGCACCTGATCAGGGGTTTTGTCAGGTGAAAGGATTTTGACTGTCCCTTCCTGAACCGTTAAAGCACTCCATCTCCACTATGCCTTTTCAGAAAGACACCTAGATAGCCATGGAAAGTCAACAATGAGGAGCCACACAATTAACCATTAGTCTGAGATAACAACATGTAGCATTTCAGATGAAGTCCCTTTAAGGGGTTGAGCAGGTCAGGAAAGGTCACAACTTAGTCAAGGTGAGACTGTTGGCAACCGAGGCACGGAAAAGATCCCTTGGCCAGTACAAAGGGCTTAGAGATCATCTGGTCCAAGGGATCTTAGCCTGGGGTCCATGAACTTGATTTATTTATTTTTTTGATATCTGTATTTCAATATGGTTGGTTTCCATTGGGGTCCTATGTATTTTGTTCTATGCATTAAATAAATACTATTCTGAGAAGGGTCCATAGCCTGCATCAGACTGTGAAAGAGGTCCATGGCACAAAGAAGGTTAAGATTAATCCAACCCCCCCCCCCCCCCGCTTTCTTTTTGATAGATGAAGAAACCAAATCCCGGAAAAGATAAGTGATATACTCAAGGTCATTCAGTTGTGAAGCTTATCTAAAATATGTTTGAGTTGTGTTATTACAATGCCTAAGTTTGACTCTTAGGATAAAATATAACTTTCTTGGGAGAGGTAGGGGACTATGAATGTACAATATTATATATTCTGTCAGATGTAGTACATGTGCTGGTTGACTTTGCTATACTTTTTTTTCCCTTCTCTTTGTTGCAAGAGAAGGCTCAGTGTGGGGAAGAGGGAGAGAATGGATTTATTTGGAGATGACTGTGATATAAAAAACTAAAAGCATCAATAAAACTTTTAAATCTCCCCTGCAAAATATATTCACAGACATGGATCCATACATATTTCTATACCGACACATATACATTCATATATTGAAGGTTCTTTGAGATAGCAGGTGAGTTTGGTTATAACTCATCTGATAAATATAAGTTTATAGTTTTTAAATGGTAGTGCCATATCTTAGGTAATTTGCCATCTAGATAGGATAATAAAACAAAGAAGTAAAAAAACTGATATGTGTTA